GCACCCCCTCCACCCCCAGTTGGAGTGTGCTGTAGGGAGACCCCAGCCCACCCCAATGCCCCCATTTCCCTTGTCCCCATCCCCTCACCCCTGCCCCTAACCTCTTTGGGCCCCTGTTGTCCCCCCCTCAAACTGGAACCCCACCACTCCGGTCCTTCCCCAGACTCCTAGGTTCATCCCTGATATCTTCTCTGGCAGGTTTACGAACAGCTCTACGACACGCTGGACATCGCAGGCAGTGCTGAGATCCGGGCCCATGCCACAGCCAAAGTATGGTTCCTGAGGAACCCTTCCCCAACAGCTCCCTCACAACCAGGATTAGGGCCCACCCAGTGGCCATAGGACAGAGTCATGGTGGCCCACAACTATCCCAGAGGCATGGTGGCCCCTTGGTCCTGTCCCCCCAGGCCTCCACCGAACAGCCATGACTCAGTCCCAGCATCCGTCCCTGTCCCCTCCCATCCCAATACCCCCTTCTTCCCAGCTCTCCCAGTCCCAGGTCGTGGCCAGGGCACTATGCTCATGAGAGCCCAAGCCCAACCCTCAGCCAGAGGGCAGGTGGCTTAGGAAGGGGGAAGACACCCAGGGCCGCCATCCTCTCAGCTGTCAGTCTGTGTGTCCGTCCTCAGGCGACAGTGGCGGCCTTTGCAGCCAGTGAGGGGCACGCGCACCCACGGGTGGTGGAGCTGCCCAAGACAGATGAGGGGCTCGGCTTCAACATCATGGGAGGCAAGGAGCAGAACTCTCCCATCTACATCTCCCGCATCATCCCTGCTGGTGTGGCTGACCGGCACGGCGGGCTCAAGCGCGGGGACCAGCTCCTCTCTGTCAATGGCGTGGTGAGGCAGTGAGGACTTGGAGGACTGAGGGAACTGGGAAGGGGGACAGCTGGGACTGAAGTGGGTGTGGGGACGGGGGGATGGGACTGAGGGAGTGTGGGGGGGGGCACTAGGGCTGGGAGTTGGGGAGCCTGGAAAGGGGACACTGGAACTGAGGGAGTTAGGGCAGAGGGGGATGACTGGAACTGAGGGAGCTGGGAAGGACTGGGGCTGAGGGAGATGTAGGGGAAAGGACTGTACCTGGGATGGAGGGAGTTGGGGATGGGGGGAGACTGAGGCTGGGATTAGGACTGAAGGAGCTGGGGTTGTGGGGGGGCAGGGGAACAGGAGAGAGAGAGAGTGACATAGGGGTGAGCTCCGGGAGGTGCCTGTGGAGGGACAGCAGGAGACAGGTGTGGGGCAGGACTGTAGGGGCCAGGGGGAGGCAAGCGCAGCCCTGGGGAAAGGGTGGTGTTGCAGCGGGAGTGGGTGCGATGGGGGCCAGGCATGCAGTGATGGGGACTGGCATGGTCGTGCCGCTGGCAGAGCGTGGAGGGGGAACAGCATGAGAAGGCAGTGGAGCTGCTGAAGGCGGCGCAGGGCACGGTGAAGCTGGTCGTGCGCTACACGCCCAAGGTGCTGGAGGAGATGGAGGCCCGCTTCGAGAAGATGCGCACGGCCCGGCGCCGTCAGCAGCACGCCAGCTACTCGTAAGGGACCCCCTG